TTGGTCCAGCAAGCTGGAGAACAAAGAAGGAAAAATAGAAAAATTAAGAGTGATAACAAATTTATGAATACACATGATGACACATTTATACTTGCACTTATATACACGCAGACACACACATTCACACACACACACACAGATGAAATACTGACCCTTGTTTTATTAACTTAGGGGCAGGCAGGAATTTTCCCATTTGAGCATCAACACTGCAGCCGCGGGATTTTACTCTGAACAGGAAAGAATCAGAATTAGAAAAAGAGTCAAGATTGGTCTAAAATTAGTGAGAACATGATGAACACACCTTAATTTAGCAACAGGGCCCAGTTCAAGCGGACATCAATGATGCGCACGCAGCGATCTTATTTGCTCAGCTGAGCGTGAGCCGGGGCTCCAGTTAACAGGCCTACGAGCAGACGGGCTCCGCGGTGCAAATAATAAGGGAAAAGAGCGGAATTAATGAGGTTTGATGTGGAGCACTTCTCAAAAGGGGACACCGGTTGACACAATTGGGGACCGCTCAGGAGGGCGGAGACGCTTGATGGCTCGCGCCACTTGCATTTTCTGCTCTCCACTTGAAAAGCCCACAAAACTCAACCGAGGACAAAAAACGGGGTTGGTACATTACAGCGTAACTCAGCAATCAACACCCCACCACCCCCCCCCAAAAAAAAGGCAAAAAAGCCCCCTAGTGGTTGTTAGAAGTATATCATGGAGCTCTAACCTAATGATCTGTGGTCTAATAGCAGAATTGCAAAGTTGTTTTTTGAACTTATGGTCACCACATCATTAAAAATACCATCCATACTCTTGTTTGTTGACTTTGTTTTTTTCATGTCTTTAAAAAACATTCAAGTCTAATTTGGGCAATTATGCATGCAACTAGGATAACAAAAAGCTACAAAGGAACAAACTACAACCACAAGAGTAATCATTTTTGGAACAGGAAGAATTCTTGCTCCCCCCCCATCTAATAATTTTTATAATAATAAAGATGAGCAGTTGGATGACTATATACTATATTTAATAAAACAAGCTGACAACAAACAGCGAGACAATCGACGCTCTCATTTGATATCGCAGAGGAGGGCGACGCCTCGCATGATCCAGTGGTCGGGCGGGTGACTGGTGCCCAATATCACGGCGGTGATGTAATTGAGGTCGGTACGCTTGGGTTTCTTATAAATGGGACACACATAGAACTTGGGGTCGGGGGGTGCGGTGGAGTTGATGGCGAACATGTGGATGACGGGCAAGGGCGTAAAGAGCACTTTGGGGGCCGACTCGCAGAGGACCGAGTGCTTCTTGTCCCAGTCAGCGCCCTCCAGGAACAGGCCGTGAACGAACACACCTTCCTGTTGAGACAAAGGCACTGGCATGAGTGTGAGTGAGCGCAGGGGCGAGGGGGAAGAAAAAAGACAACAACAACAACAACTCAGCATGGTCATATAGTGGTCACACTAAATTCCGGTAAAGTTGGAAACTTCAAATGGGAATTTATGTGAATTAACAGGAATAAAGCATGAATTCAAATAAATCACTCGCAATTCCGGCGGCCCGGTGATCCAGTGGTTAGCGCGTCGACCCCGCAGTGCAGAGGTACCGGGTTCAATTCCGGCTGTGGCCTCCCTGTGTGGAGTTTGCATGTTCTCCCCGTGCCTGCGGGGGTTTTCTACGGGTCCTCCGGTTTCCTCCCACATTCCAAAATCATGCACGGCAGGCTGATTGAACACTCGAAATTGTTCCTTGGTGTGAGTGTGAGCGCGGATGGTTGTTCATCTCTGTGTGCCCTGCGATTTGCTGGCGACCTGTTCAGGGTCGAAGACAACTGGGATAGGCTCCAGCACCCCCCCGCGACCCTTGAGAGGATAAAGTGGATCGGAAAATGGATGGATGGATGGATAGATAGATACTCCCAATTCCCATCATTCCATTTTTTTTCAATCCATGAAGATTTCCCAAAAAACTTGACAACTTTATGAGAAATTTCCTGACTTTTTTTTTTTTTACACGACTTTTCATCATGTGTTTGTGTGTGTGTATCTCACCTCTGGATCGGCCTTGATCTCCTCCTTGGTCTTCTTCAAGACTTTGTTGTTCAGTGTGACCGAGTCCAGAGCCCAGCCTTTGTGTGCCCTCGTCACCTCTTGCCTCATCGCAGTGAGGAAACCTGAACCATACAGTGACACCAGCCAATGTGAAGAGGAATCCACTTAACAATCTTTTGAAGCATCAGAGACAGAGAACAGAGGAAACTGTTGGCGCTCTGCATCACTGACACGGTTCAATTTCGTCAGCATTTGGCTTGTGCAGTAACGCAGACTTTATATTCCGAATGACTCTCTGCACTTGGTACATTTGTGTATGCAGTTAACTCCGCATCTTCACGGTTCGGCATTTGCAAATTTGTGGATTTTGTAAGTGGAGCCAATCCCCTAGTATTTGCTGAGAAACTCAACTAGTTGCTGTTTTTATTTTTCTACTGTTTGTGTAAAGTGCTACCATGCTAATCTCATGTGTGAAATCATGTCAGTTTATGCTTGTGTGTTATTTACGTGAGTATGTAGGCTAATATTATTGATCGTTTGAAGGTGGACTGTTTGTGGTGAAGAATGTAACTGCTGCAGTCATTTATGTCACATGGGTTCAGGAGTCTGTACATACAAGATGCATGGTGTTGATGCTTTGCTGATTATTGTTGCCGAATCTCCAAAGTTTGTCATTTAATTCCTCCGAGACACAAGAAAATTTTTAGAATTTTAAAATCAAGACAAAAATCGCACATTTTGCAATTGACTTTGCGAATCTTCGATAAAATGTAAAAGCATTTTCAAGATTTTAATTCCCGATGTGTAGTTTATATCCACAGTTGAAACTTTATTACTCACCCTGAGGGTTGAAAAAACCTGTCATCCAAAACGTTTTGGGCCGTCGGGAAAACACCCAGCTGTGAAACTGTCTGTTCCTGTCCAGGAGCTCGGTGAACCAGAACCCGAGTGTTGTGGACTCCCATGAGAGCTTCCTCCAAAGATTTGGCACACGGGCATCAAAGATGTTGTCCAGGGCGTCACGGAGGTTCTACGAGGAAAGACAGTGGCAGGCATGATCAATTCCGGACAATAAGTCGCAGTTTTTTTTCATAGTTTGGCCGGGGGTGCGACTTATACTCTGGAGCGACTTATGTGTGAAATAGTGAACATATTCTATCGTTTAAACCGCAAGAGGGGGCTCTAGGCCTGTGTTGATGCTTTTCACATTGACAAAAAAAAAAAAAAAAAAAAACCCTACGATGACTATGACGTAAGCGACATAGAAGAGGAAGCGCTGCATCTTCTACCTCCGGAGTTGGCAGAGTTGCTCGAAAGGCACAACGAGGATGAAGATTTCATTGGATTTAGTGATTTGGAGTGACACTGATGGTTTGGTAAACTTGTTAGCATGATCATTATGCTCCAGTTATCTGAATAACTCTTAATATGTTACGTGAACATACCGGCCACATTCTCAGTTCAGTTCATTGTTTATGCGTCATGTAACCTTAGCATATCGTACTCTTCTTCAGCCTGTTGTTTTATTTTTATTTGCCTTCAAAGATGACATATCTGTTCTTGGTGTTGGATTTTATCACATAAATTTCCCCCCAAAATGCGACTTATACTCCAGTGCGACGTATGTATGTTGTTTTGTTCTTTATTATGCATTTTATGGCTGGTGCGACTTATAGTCCAGAAAATACGGTACTATTTGGAGAAAAAGTCTAGAAGACCAGGGGTGGGCAAAGTGAAAACCATGGCCCATGTGCAGCTTCCCGTTTTTTAAATGTATATTACCGAGTGTCCTGTAATATTTGTTGCATTCATTTCAATGTTTTGTTTTCCTACAATTGGTGAATGAAAATTGTTTTATCATTGTTCATATGGTAAATAAAAAAATGCTACAACCCTTTAACCAACAGAATGAATACAAATGGTGCGGCATCACATGTAGACAGAAACAGCGACAGTACTCAGTCGCGTATTCTTTCGTTACTGCTCCATTGAACGACTAATATTCGCATGCTATCGATGAGCTGAGGGAGGAATTGAGATGTCGCAATAAACAGTTTTGCCGTCTGTCAAAGGTGGGCACACCCGGGGGCGCAGCACAATGGCCATTCAATCAATGCGGTGTGACAAAGGCAGTTTAAATTTTTTCAGTTAGATTTCAATATATTATTTCTGTATGTTTTTATAAACTACAATACTGCAGAGTGCTATTTTTCATTGTTAAAAAATACAAACATTTCTTTTTTTCGGTCTGTAACGGATTACTGGAATTTCCAATCATTTCAACAGGAAAAGGTGATTTGAGTGTTTTGAGTTATAAGCATCGTCACTGAACAAAATACCGTTAAACAATAGGTTTGTTGTAATTAAACTGATGACAAAAAATGGGGATGAAGTTAATGCCCAGTCCGCCTTTTTTTCTTTCCCTTTTATTTGACGTGACTTGTAGTCTCGGGCTGAAGTACAGTACGGCCACCCCATTTGCAGCGGGGAAAGGCTAGAAAAGCAAAGGTAACCAACATTATGGACCGACCTCGCTCATGATGATGGTGCCCTCGATGGCCAGCTTGAGATCCTGAAGAGTGGTGCGCACCACAGCGATAATCCTCTGCATGCGGTCCACCTCCTGGCGTAGGAAGATGTTTAACCATCTGGGATGACAGCTTCCTCCGGGGCATCGCCGTTGGCCCACACTTTCCAGTGTTTTCCACTTTTACCCACCTGCAACAGGGACCGAGCCACGCAGTATGATGATACACTCATGGAATTGGAAGCCGCGATATCTACGAAAATCAACCTGATTGAGGATGTTGGCAAACTGAGGAAGTTTACTGAGTTCCACGAGGTTCAGCCATACAATGTCAAGCACCCAGTTGAAGGGTTTCGGGGGGCAGGCCTTCAGGTCGAGTGCAGCGCCGCCTGTCAGAAAAGGACTTCATTAAATGCTTTGAGATTGACTTTTTCATCTTAGAACAAATTGATATCCTCCACAGACTTAGACATACAACCCCCCCCCCCTCATTGTAATCCATTGATGTCATTTTAAAATGCATTTATTTATTTATTCTTATGATTTAAAATTTAATTCATTTAAATTTATTGTGACAATTTTTTCAATTGCAGATTAGATTTATTTTAGTTTTAATTTAAAATGCTTCATTTGATTTATTTTTATTGAAAACGTTTTGAACTGAAAATGATGTATATTTATCTTCTTTATATATACTGTGTATTGCCTTGGATTTTATTTCACTGATTTCTTACACAATGTCAGCGTTGGGGTGCAACCCCAGTGCTTGCGTGGAGTCCACGGCGGGCAAGCCTTGGATGTAGTCCACGTACTCGTCGATGGTCTTACATATCGGGATTTGGTACTCCGTGTAGAAGCAGAAGGACGGGTCCAACATTTTCTTACTGAACCACACCTGTAACAGGGAACGTTCGAAGGACAAATACCAAAAAAAAAAAAAAAAAAACCCCAAGAAAAAAAATGAAGAAGAAGAAGAAGAAAACATTGAAAGTGAAAAATGAACAGATCGATTATTATGCCAACCACGAGTATCTACAGTTAAGGTGAAAATGTAAAAGAGGTCCTTGCCCGGGCAAAACATTTGAGCAGGCGTTTGTCATAGTCGTCAGTGACCCTGCCTCCGTACTGCACTTCGGCTAGCATGTAGCGCAGAGTCACCCAGGAGACATCCTTGGTAAGGGTGGATACAGTTAGGAAAAGAAGCCAACACAAGTGTGGCAAATTTGTGTGTGTTTGTTTGCGTGTGTGCGGCCACCTTTCTGGGTCCGCAGTCATCCAGGTGTCTCTCTACAAACTCCACGCTGGCTGTGAAGTCCGCAGAATTGAACTCGTACGGTATGTTCCATCCCAGCGGTCCAAATTTACGCCGTTCCTGGGACCATGAAGTCAAAAAATGATGGGCTGATTCTAATGTTTGCAAACAAAACCTATTAGGCAAGGAGCAAAATTCCATGCGATTTAACCACAGGTGATTGGATTGGATTGGATAAACTTTATTGTCAAATGTACTGTATGTGTAACATACAGCACAGATGAAATTTCTTCCCTCTCAACAAGGTGTTCATCTCAACAACAACATCTCAAGGTGATGTTTATAAACCAAAGACACAGTCGCTCCACTTCGGGCTGCAACATGTAGATGTATGTTTTTTTGTTTTTTTTTTGTACAAATTCCACATTTCCAGGTGCATTGAAATAGCCTCTCCATGGCGCTTCAAATGGAGCCAGAGCAATAACAAACGGAATTTTTAGTGGGATGTTTTTTTTTTTTTTTGTCCACCCATCCATTTTCAACACCGATTATCCTGAAGAGAGCCGCGGGGTTTGCTGGGACCGATCCCAGTTGACTCCGGGCGAAAGGCGGACTAACCCCTGAACTGGTCGCCAGTCAGTCACAGGGCACATATAGAGACGAACAACCACACACACCCACATTCACACCGTCACCAAGTGGGAAGCGATCCCACGCTGCTCGCACACAAGTCCGGCGAGTGTACCACTACGTTGCTTTGCTAAATGAAGCATTTCCTTTTGCATAATCCCGTCAATGAGTGCGGTACCTGAACAGCAGAGTGGAGAAAAGCCACGCCGTACAGCAGCGGCTTCCACGTCGGCAGGTTGCTGACTTCCAGCTGGTTTTGTGAGATGCTTACAAAGGTTCGCTTCAAGCTGGCGCGAAGTCCCTGCGGTGGGTCGTTGGTAAACTTGATGGAAGACTTGAAAGACACAGATTCCCAAGTCAGGGTAATGTTGTGGCAATAGTCTCTGTCTGAGCGCAATAAACATTGGGGAATATCTAGCGTCATCTACGTAATCTATCCCTTGAAATTTTGAAATGCAATCATTTCAAATAAAAGAGCAACCTGTAGCAGCGTGATGGAGAAGAGGTCATGCGGTTCGGTGGTGACCCACACCCTGAATGTTTTGTGCACAGTCTCTGTGACAGTGACGGTCTCCAACAACTCATCCATGAACTCCAGGCCCAAGTGACAGTTCTGCAGGAGCACCCAGCCTCCCTGCGGCCACCAATGTCGGGCGAGATGAAAAAAGTGAAACAAGTGTCATCTATCGAGACTACATGTTTACATAGGCTGAAATGCAGTAGTTTTAAAGTTTCACATGGCAGTTTCAATTCAAACCAAATGTTCTCATGGTATGTGCCAATTTGAGGTGAAAAGAAAAGAAGAATGAAGATGTTTGTTGTTCAAGAAAACTTTGAAAAGGTTTTTTCTCATTTAGTTACTGATAGAATGGACAACGATTTTACAGACACGGATGGGAAGCAATCAAGAAGGTAATGAGGAAGAAAGAAAAAAAAACACTGAATTGAAAAATAAGAACTGGAAGAAAAAGCCCAAATGTCATTTTTAATAGATGACATTTTTACTTTGTGTAAATATGATTTTTTTTCTTTTTTTTTTACTAAGGTAAAGTCGTACTTTCTATTAAGATCAGATCAAGATTTGAGGTTTGAACTAAATCGTAAATGTAATTTGTGACAAGCTAATAAATGTCGCCGTGCACAACACAAACCTCCGCCATTGAGCTATTAACAAGCTTCCTCGCATGGACCTCTTGCCCTTGCCCCATGGAGATCGACTTACATCCTGGGAGACACAAGGGGACTGTGACTGGGTGCACCACTTTAAAAAACGAATTTATATTGGTCATGGCTCAGCGAACTCACCGATATTGAGCTTCTTGGCGAGCGCTTCTATTTGGTTGGTGGGATCCGAGCCCATTGAGAGGAAGCAGATGAGCGGCGTGCGGATGTCACTCTCCTCCCACGTGCCCAGCAGGTTCAGCAGGACAGGCTCAGCAAACCTGTCGCCCATGGAGTCACCCACGTACTTCCTGGCCTGAGCCAAGGTGCGATCTGGACACCAGGACCTGCCGAAAGAACCAAACCTCTTTTTCAAGATGTGTATTTTCCTTTTTGTAATTTGTTTTTAAGGGTGAAAAAAAATGAGTGACAGTAATTTACTGTTTCAATAAAATGTATCATATTTTCTGCACTATAAGGCACACCTTGAGGCCTAATTTAATATCGCTTTAATACATAGCTATGCTAAAGAGAATACAATACAATACACCTTTATTTATATGGAGCTTTCACAACCGCTGCAGGTGTAACAAAGCGATTCACAGAACATTTAAAATACTCTGTCCCCAAAAAATCAGACTATTGAACCATGCATTCCATTTTGAGAAAATGGAATGCTTTGTCGTGCGGAAAATAGGGTAAATTGAACTTGTGCAACTTTCTGCCTCCGTCACTAGGTCCCCAAAAATTGCAGTACCTAATAAGCATGAGTTTGTTGAAGACGTCCAGGTTGTTGTAACCATCTGGGATGACAGCTTCCTCCGGGGCATCGCCGTTGGCCCACACTTTCCAGTGTTTTCCACTTTTACCCACCTGCAACAGGGACCGAGCCACGCAGTATGATGATACACTCATGGAATTGGAAGCCGCGATATCTACGAAAATCAACCTGATTGAGGATGTTGGCAAACTGAGGAAGTTTACTGAGTTCCACGAGGTTCAGCCACACAATGTCAAGCACCCAGTTGAAGGGTTTCGGGGGGCAGGCCTTCAGGTCGAGTGCAGCGCCGCCTGTCAGAAAAGGACTTCATTAAATGCTTTGAGATTGACTTTTTCATCTTAGAACAAATTGATATCCTCGTACTTCCTGGCCTGAGCCAAGGTGCGATCTGGACACCAGGACCTGCCGAAAGAACCAAACCTCTTTTTCAAGATGTGTATTTTCCTTTTTGTAATTTGTTTTTAAGGGTGAAAAAAAATGAGTGACAGTAATTTACTGTTTCAATAAAATGTATCATATTTTCTGCACTATAAGGCACACCTTGAGGCCTAATTTAATATCGTTTTAATACATAGGGCACACCGCATTATAAGGTGCATCGAATAGAAGCTACACTAGTGGCTGTGGTTGCATTCTCCATCCACTCGATGGAGCTATGCTAAAGAGAATACAATACAATACAATACAATACACCTTTATTTATATGGAGCTTTCACAACCGCTGCAGGTGTAACAAAGCGATTCACAGAACATTTAAAATACTCTGTCCCAAAAAAATCAGACGATTGAACTATGTATAAGGCGCCTTTGAATTATAAGGTGCACTGTCGACTTTTGAGAAAATGGAATGCTTTGTCGTGCGGAAAATAGGGTAAATTGAACTTGTGCAACTTTCTGCCTCCGTCACGAGGTCCCCAAAAATTGCAGTACCTAATAAGCATGAGTTTGTTGAAGACGTCCAGGTTGTTGTAACCATCTGGGATGACAGCTTCCTCCGGGGCATCGCCGTTGGCCCACACTTTCCAGTGTTTTCCACTTTTACCCACCTGCAACAGGGACCGAGCCACGCAGTATGATGATACACTCATGGAATTGGAAGCCGCGATATCTACGAAAATCAACCTGATTGAGGATGTTGGCAAACTGAGGAAGTTTACTGAGTTCCACGAGGTTCAGCCATACAATGTCAAGCACCCAGTTGAAGGGTTTCGGGGGGCAGGCCTTCAGGTCGAGTGCAGCGCCGCCTGTCAGAAAAGGACTTCATTAAATGCTTTGAGATTGACTTTTTCATCTTAGAACAAATTGATATCCTCCACAGACTTAGACATACAACCCCCCCCCCCATCATATATGCACAATTACCGATGAGTGACAGTAATTTACTGTTTCAATAAAATGTATCATATTTTCTGCACTATAAGGCACACCTTGAGGCCTAATTTAATATCGCTTTAATACATAGCTATGCTAAAGAGAATACAATACAATACACCTTTATTTATATGGAGCTTTCACAACCGCTGCAGGTGTAACAAAGCGATTCACAGAACATTTAAAATACTCTGTCCCCAAAAAATCAGACTATTGAACCATGCATTCCATTTTGAGAAAATGGAATGCTTTGTCGTGCGGAAAATAGGGTAAATTGAACTTGTGCAACTTTCTGCCTCCGTCACTAGGTCCCCAAAAATTGCAGTACCTAATAAGCATGAGTTTGTTGAAGACGTCCAGGTTGTTGTAACCATCTGGGATGACAGCTTCCTCCGGGGCATCGCCGTTGGCCCACACTTTCCAGTGTTTTCCACTTTTACCCACCTGCAACAGGGACCGAGCCACGCAGTATGATGATACACTCATGGAATTGGAAGCCGCGATATCTACGAAAATCAACCTGATTGAGGATGTTGGCAAACTGAGGAAGTTTACTGAGTTCCACGAGGTTCAGCCACACAATGTCAAGCACCCAGTTGAAGGGTTTCGGGGGGCAGGCCTTCAGGTCGAGTGCAGCGCCGCCTGTCAGAAAAGGACTTCATTAAATGCTTTGAGATTGACTTTTTCATCTTAGAACAAATTGATATCCTCCACAGACTTAGACATACATCATATATGCAAAATTACTGACTTTAAATGACCATCTTCAAAAGAACATCAAATTCCGCATTGCACAATACATTCATGTGTGGATTTTTGTCGTTCTATTTTGAGACATGATAAAGTTATACTGGAATTTGAAGGTGCTTTTCAAGAGGCAAAATAAGACAAACATGTTCCCCAAAAAGCCCCGCCCCCCCAACCCCAAAAAGCCCAATTCCTCTGGAATCTTTTTTTTTTTGACTCAAGGTGAAGCAGACTTTTGACAGATTTTCATTTTTGTGAAATCCTGTCCCATTGCCAGTTTCAGATTGAAAACTTGCTATATTTGGAGAGAAGCAATGAACATCTAAAAACAAAAATGTCGATGGAAATAATGGGCAAAGAACAGAACAAAAAGATGATTCACGTGTTTGGAGAGAAACTACTTGGAAAAAAAACAACAAAAATAACTTTTTTTTTTTTTTTAAAGTACCACACCTTTGATGAGAATCTGAAATTGGCTGTGTTGTATCCTGCCATTCTGCAGGTCGATCTTAAGGGCCATGAGCATCGTGAAGATGAACTTGTGGTTTTCATACAGTCCGCGCACCGTGTACCGGAAGACTTCATACGTCAAGTATTCGATGATGTTGGCGATTCGTTTGGACGTTTTGGCTGACTTCTCCGATCTGCGAAATACACGTTAACGGATAAACACCAACAAAAGCGGGGCAAAAAGGGAGACGACATCCTCCCACCATACCCCGGACAGCCCCGCCGAAATGAACAACTTTACCTGGCCAGCGAAATGTCGAAGATTTTGAGGAACTGACTGAGGGAAGTCTGGTACATGACGTTGACCATGCTCATTTCGGTGATGAGGAAGTAAAGGATGCTGCCTCGGCACGCCACCGGCCGATATTCGGACTGAGCCGCCTTGATTTTCTCCTCCGCCTCAGCCGCAATGTTCAGCTTGACGCTAACCTCGGCAGCCGTTTGCTTGGTCGTGCTCAAAATGCCAATCATGGAGTCATCGTCCACCAAGGAACCTGTGGGACGCGGCCAAGGAGAAACCTCGGAGTATATTTGCAACCCTTACAAACAGAAATCCACAGGAGTGATTGGGGACCTTTCGTGGTGCTCAGTTTGTAGAGCAGGTTGTCCTCCAGCTCCTGCATCTTCCTCTTGTTGGAGGTCACATCCTCAATCAGCTTCAGCCTCTCGTTCTCTAGTTCCTATCAAATGAAAGGCAGCTCAGTTACACAGTTACCACACTTGCAACAATTCAAAAAAAAAATGCGGAGAGAAACACGCAAAAAGCAACACAAAGTGATGCTGGAACATGGACAAACCTTCTTCTCAGCGAGGATGACACGACCCAGCAGCTGGTCCTCCAGGCCTTTCATGTTGACAGTGAAGTCAATGATGGACGTCTTGGCGCTCACCTCCGGAGTGTACGACGGATTTGGCAGTTTGGTGGTAATGTAAAGTCGGAAGTTGTTGGACACATCCACGTCCTTGTCTCCCACTTTCACCTCCACGGAAAAAAAACATCCACAGGAGTAATTTAGCTGGGCGGCACTTGCACAGTTTTTCAACGACCAACGGCAAGAGGTCAGGGTGGAAGTGTGCATTTGTTTGTTGTGGCAGGATTACAGAAACGACCTCAAACTCATTTTGATTTGAAGCAATCTAAAAACAAATATTGTGTTTTTTGGGCTATACGTCACACCGTTGTATAAATCGGAGGAGCCAAACCATGAAAAAAAGTAGTAAATAGTCCCAAAAACAAATTTGATGATATCTTGCTAGGTTTTGCACACACACAAAAAAAAAAAAATCTATAAAATTGGAAAATAACACAAGCTTCTTTATATTTCAAATTGATGAAAAATGTAAAAAAAAATAAAAACGTGAGATTTTTTTTAATTAAATTGATGTTTGGTTAAAAATGGAAAAGAGATTTTTTTTAATTGTTTGTCAACTGAAAAAAAAATAAATAAATAACACTCCAAATTCCTCACAAAAACGCTCAACGGCATTCCATAGAATTACCTTGTAGTTGGAGCCAGATTTGAAGAAATTTTTCTCCAGGACGTTGTCAAGGGCGGGGTCCAGCTCCTCGCCCACATCCTCAATAAGTAGCGGCCTCCCCAAGGAGATGGAGTCCTCCAAATGCGTACGAAAGAACTTGTGGTTGAGGGATGTCAGCTGGAAGTGAGACAACAGCGGGATTGAGATTTCGGAGTTTCATTTCTGTTGTGGCGAATGCACGCCCATGACCCTGGTGGGGAGAAGCCGATCAAATAATTGATGGATGAACGATACCTGCAGGGAATTGGCCTTTTCTTTTGCGGTGATCCAAGTCTTTCCTTGAGTCTGGGGATCGACCAGGAGCGGATACCTTGACGCTTTAGTGACGATGATGCCGTTCTGCACTGACAGGTCATCTCCGGGCAGGCCCTGAAGATTCCACTCGCTGATCTAGAAAAGACAAACCCATTTTTTTGTCCCCCACCCACACCCACACACGAATCCAACCGTTGGCTCATTTTCTTGCTCTTACCGTGGGAGCATCCACCAACGTGGAGATCAGGTTGAGGTTTTCCGTGAATGGGATATTGTTGGATATGAGATCACTTTTCCACATGTCCAGCAACATGTCGCGGAAATTCTGGTTGAAGGGGCCGCAGTATGACAGGAAACCGGTAAGCTGCAGGACGTCGCCCACCAGCCTAACCAATGAAAACAAGCTGAGTTGAAAACCCTCTTTCTTAGAGTCCTGCTGAATCTAGATGCGAGCTAGTGTTTTGCTTTCCCTTTATTTGATTTATTTTTTTTTGTTGGTAGTATTTCAGGTAAATCAGGGCCCTATTTCTTAGAGTCCTGCTGAATCTAGACGGGAGCTAGTGTTTTGCTTTCCCTTTATTTGATTTCTTTTTTTTTTGTTGGTAGTATTTCAGGTAAATCAGGGACAGAAGTGAAACAACAAAAGTTTAGCTTATGTTCTTGTATAGAATAAAAAATACTCTCAAAAAACTTAACTAGATGCAAACAAAAACCGATCAAAATACCGTAGTTTTTTTTTCATTATTTTTGGTTCAAAATAAGTAATTTACAAAATTTCCAGAGAATCAACTGAAAAACAATAGTCATGTGACATTGTGTGTAATAATGAAAGAAAATTCATAAAAATGAGGAGAGAAACAGAAACAACCAGAAAACGATAAACCTTTTTCCCCTTTGTGTCCCATATAAAAATCATCCATAATTTGGAAGGAAGCATTGGAAAAATAGCATTCTTTTGTGTATTTTGAATTTTTTTTTTTTAAAAAAAGAACACCTAATATTTGGATCACCACAAGACTGCGTAATCTGGGGAGGTGCAGGCATCAAAAAACATCGAATGTTTTTGTATTTGGGATGAAAAACTAACAACTGCCAAATTTGGAGAAAACTACAAAACCTTTTTTTTTTTCTTTGTGGTGTGGATTAAAAAAAAAAAAAAAAAAAGGAATATTTCCACCTACCTCTTGATCTGAGATTTAAATTCTTTGCTTTGTTGGGTCCAGCGAACTTTCTCATTACTCAGCCCGCCGATTAGATCTGAGGCGGCCTGCATTTTGTTCTTACACATTTCGGAACGATCCACCAATTCCTGAAAGAAATTGTCCAAAGAATAAGGATGAGGCACTTGCTCTCCCACCAAGTCTATCACAGTCCAGAAGCGTACCTGCTTCTCTTTGCTTGCAGCGTCGCTTTTCGCTTGCACCAGGGCCAGCTCGGCTTCCTTTTCGGCCAGTGTGGCCTGAGCTGCCATTTGCTCAGCGCTGGCTTTTTTGTAGCGCACTTCCTGAACCGCCAGATTAGCCTAACCACAAACGACACCGCAGTCTGTTAAGAAAATGCCAGGACTTGATTCATCACTTGATTCTGTTTGTTTCTAGCGTGCAAGGTTGTTGTGATTGTGGCAGATGCACCTTGTGGCAGGTCAACATGAAAAAGTGGCGAGAGGCACATTTCCAACGGCTAAGTCATGCGCGTCTTTCCTGAGCGCACGTCATTTTTGACTGTCGCATCCTACCTTGAGCGGCAGCACTTCCTTGTTGATGTCATAGAAGGTGGCCATCGCCCTGGTCCACGCGAGCAGACCGGCCACACTGCCGCACACCTTCTTCGCGTTTTCCATGGTGTAGTCCTCCATATCGAAGTAGGGCTGCAACAACTCCACCGTCTCCTCGTTGATCTTGTCCTTGACGAACTGCTGCAGCGACCCCAAGAAGCCTGTGCTGCCCATTAGCTGAAGCAGACGCCAAGACAGATGACGGTGAGAAATGTGGACATTGGACAAGTTGTCCGAAAAACCCCCAAAAAGAAACAGCGACCGGGATCAGACGCACCCTGAGAGCATCGGGCCATGATGGCTTGATACAGGGCAGGTTGGGATCCATTGTGACAGTCTCCAACTTTCTTTGGAACAACAGCAGGCAGCAGTCCATGATCCTCATGATCAGGTGTGGTGGCTTGGCCAATTTCCTCACAGTGGCAATATCAGCAGGCTTGATGGTCTGTTTTGGTTTTTTTTGTCAACACACCAGCAAGTACCGCAATCAAAATATGTCTTGAAAGTGTACGGCTGGGCGCTATGGCCCTCAAAAAACACCCATTTCAGGTTATAGTCGATTTGCAATTTATCCAGAAAAAGCAAATAATCACATTATTCAAAACTTTCAAAGACAATGCGTGACACATGTGTTCAGTTATTGAAGAAATCTGTTCTGAAATACATCATACATGGCTAAAAATAATTGCGGAAAATGTGTCAAGACTGAACCTTGAAGCACTCACCATCATACCTAAAATGTTAAAGTGTGACAAGACAAGAATGGCAATATCGCGATATTAAAATTGCCACAATAGCGTGGTTGTCATGTTACGATATGAAAAGCAGCACATCTCCAGCAAAAAGGATGACTTTCAGCCCGCTTCAACTGAACACAGCATTGTGAACTCCACAGACCATGATACTTTGCACTGCGAAATAGCAACACACAACAATAAAATGACTGGCCAAGCTTATTTCTTTTTCACATTATAACGTCACCCCCCAAGAAGAAACCGAGTGAGATGAGCCATTTATTTGGATCAGTGTATCGCCTCTCTCTTCACCTCTTCAGCGTTAACGCTACTTGAAAGGACAACTCACGTTCAGTGCATTTTCAGCCTCCTGTAATGCGGGCTTGGCTGCCTCCAGTTTTTCCTCAGCAATTGCCCTCTCCTGCGTGATTTCATCCACGATCATCTGGGCTTTGTCGCTCACGGTCTGGACCTCATTCTTGATTATGGTGGCCGCCTCGGTTCGGACCATCACCTCGGCTAACACCTAAAAGGTACATCTCACGTCATTGTTTACGCAATAGCGGAACCAGCGTTTCCCTCTTGTGACGAGTGCTGTTTTTATTTGACCTTGTCAGCCTTGGCAGAGGCCACCACCAATTCTTTCTCACTGACTTCCAGCTCTTTGGAGAGTTTAGCTACGGACACGCTGGCCTCCATCAGTTTGTTCAACCCTGACATGAAGATATAAAATCGGTTTATTAAGAGATACCCGGGCTCTCAATATTTGTGGGCCTCGAACTGCTTGTGCCCTTTCTAAGATTAGAAAATATGAACTCGACTCTACATTATAAAATAACCATTGCTTCATTCGAAGTGCTGTACATGGAGTTAAAATCAATCATACAATAACAAACAGTGAAAACAGTAAATTAACACAAATCAACAAGTTATGTTTTGCAGCAATGAATATTAGCCAATGAATGAAGAAATGAATTCATTCATCAATTATTCATCAATCAATTAATACCAATACAAACACAGCAGACATTTTATTTCGTAAATGAAAGACTCGACCTATTTTTTTATACTTGCATGTTCTGCCCTTTTATTGCGACCTTTTGACCCAGGGGTCATAATATACTTTCACACATTAAAGTTCTGGGAACTTTTAGCTCATGGTACTTGTTGGTTCCAAGGACCAAAATGTTCCTGGAACTGAAAATACTGTACCCGCCGGGTCTGTCGCTGTATTTTGACCTCAAATTCGAGGCACTTTTGTTCCTTCGTACTTTCGGTATCGAGGACCAAAATGATTTTTCATTTGAAATGTGCTTACCAACATTCATGCGCTGGGCGAGCGTGTTAATGTGCTCGTGGTTTTGATGGTAGAGCGTCTTGTAGCCATTGATGAATGAGAGGTACGATTTGGGGGTGACGTGAGTTCTCCTCCTGAATCTGTAAAAACAAAAAAGAAAGAAAGAAAAAAAAAAACAATGCAAACTCATCACCCCATGAAGACAAGAAAAAATTCTTATTGAATTACATCAAAATAGTCGTTACCGTTCGAAGTAGCTTTCGCACGTCTCCGACACTTTGCGATGGTACACGCCCATGGTGGTCACCATGGAAGCTTTCACCTCTGGTGTGCAAACAATGGGAAATTCGGAGAGGAAGTGATGAGCCACGGCCACCAGGGCCTCCTCGGGCCATGGGGCAAACCAGTCCATTGTGCAGCCAGATATCAAGCCCGGGAACTTCAGAGACCGAGAGCGAAACTTTGGTCCCACCTGTAGAGATGATTGATAGATGCGATGCCACGAAGTATCCTTCGCTGTTGTTTACATTCTTGTCTGTATCTCTAAAATCCGATGTGTCATTATAGGGAAAGTGGCCTCTCCTAACTGCGCTCAAAAATAGGCTTAAATGAAGGCTTGGTATGAAGATTGGTCCAATCTCCTTGACAATATCCTCTGGAGTAATCTGGAGTGCTTCCAGATTTTTGGTTGGTTAAATATAGTTTTTCATTCACATCCATGTGTCATTTTTATTCTACTAATCATGTCATTTGAGCATTTTTGGGTTAGGGTTTTTTTTTTTTTTTTTATTATTCTTTTTTTAGATGGCACTTACCGGCGAGAAGCACAACACAACGTGCAGGTTCTTTCGCGCCCGTGATATGAAGTAGTCGTAAAGGTTGTCAAAAGTGGGCGGAATGCGAGGAAATTCCTTTTTCATTACCGGAATAAGGTTTTGGGTAATCTCTTGGATCTCATCCTTTGCGAAAAGGTTGGAGACCTGCGCAGAGATGAAGGATTGGCGGTGAAGGCTTTTCAAGCGCGACATCATACGGAAAGTGTTAAATTTCCCGAGAATTAGGTCATCACCTCTCCAGACGACAGAACATTGTTCAGGTACTCGAGGAAGGCTTCCTGTTTTATTTCATTATCAGTAAAAAGGAAGGTGATACCGCGCCCTTCGGCCCCACTTGATTTGTACAACTTTTTTAGATCTTCCATGAAATTAGATATATTGTAAGACCTGAAGGGAAAGACAGATAGTGCTCCACATGTCATTCATAATAAAGACATTGAATCCATATGCACATGTGATATTTGCGGATGTTTTTTTCTTTCCATTTTAAAAAAGTTGTCAAAAATTGCTACAGCAATTCATCACTTTGCCATTTTAGGGAAAAATATAATATAATAAATGACAGAATGCTGCTCTATACAAAGGAATTGGAGCGTCCATTTGTTTTTTTCCCCCCCCCCTAACAAAAAGAAAAAAAAAAATCCTGAACTTTATTTTTTCCTCACTGTGTCATGATCCAGAATTACATGCAGAATTTTCAGGGGAAAATTTGAGAGAAATTTTGGAATATTGCATGGCTACAACATAAGTACTCCAAAGCTAAAAAGCGAAGCATATTTTCTGTTCTCCTTACTTGGTCAGTGTGATCTGGTTGACTTCGTATCCGGCTATGTACGAGGCAAGACGAGTCAAACTCTGTTTCCCAGATCCTCCCACACCCACGAGAAGGGCATTGCCAGTATCCGTGCGAATGATGCGTGAGATCTATGGAACGTAGCGGCAAAGAAAACAAAATACAGTGTTGAAAAAAAGTTATTAAAATGAGTATTGTACAATATGGACAGTAAATATTAATTTGAACTTTTTACTTTTGTACTCAAGAACTTTTTTTTCCTGTATCTGTACTTCTACTTAAGAGTGCGAGGACTTTTGCGACCTCCGCGTGTGGACTCAATCTCACCTTGACGAGGTGAGTCATGGCATCCGTGAAGAAAACCAAGTCCATGTGAGAGCCTCTCACTTCGTCATTGTGCTTTGCCTGATAGAACCGTAGCTTCTCCTCTAGGAATTGAAACGTGGGGACCTGACAGAATAGATGACTCACGGTGAGGACGGTCAAGCGGCGGACACAAAACAGTCTCAATAGCCGAGGTGAGTTTTTCATACGAGCTCGTAAATTTTGGGGGCATCGAAAGAGGCGTTTTCATCCTCCTCGCCAGTCGGTTCGGGCGCCTCTCTCAGGAAGTCAACAAAGTATGGATCCTTGTGGATCGACGCGACGAGGCTGGGGTCGACGTGCTCTTTGACAACGCGGCCTACAGAGCTCTCAAACCAGTCTTTGTCCTCGGGGCAAATGAACCTAAAAAGACAAGCAAAAACAAAAACGTTTTTAACCCGACTTTGGCAGGCCAAAGATATGAGCCATTCTGGGTGTGAAGTGGGTTCGAGCGCGGTTCGAACAGTGTTGTGTGGCCACGCCCTGGTTTATCCGTCTACCTGTCAGCGATGACGCGGGTGCATTCGCTCTTGAAGAGGGCCACGAGGGTCTTGAAGTCGTTGCATTGCTCGGCCTCCACCTTCAACATTCCTTGCCAGATCCTGGACAAGTCTCGCAAGTTGAAGATGTAGTGAAACTTGGAGGGCGTGGGCAGCATCTTTGTCTAAAGTCGACAGAGTAAATCGGTGGTTCTCCATCTTATTACACCAACTCCCATTTCTATTGCAAATAAGAGAGCATTTCCCAAAGAAACGACCTTGGTCCACTGCCACAAAACCCGGCCAGCTGACACGAGCTTCTTCACCATGGCTGTTATATTTTCCTTGAACTTCCTGCACTCGTGGAAGTAGCCACAGCCGATCACACCTGCGTGTTAAAGCAAACGTGACAATTTGTACATATTGTCATTTTATACTTCTAGTTTCTATTTTCGAGTTACCGAAGATTTTGTCAATGGAAGTATTGGAAGGCAGCGTGCAGTTGAAGACGGTGAACTGCCTCTTGAGCCTCTGCGGAATGTCATTTCGCCCGCCGCCAGGGTGGATCATGGCCCCCAGCATTTGGACGTCCACAATGGTGATGAAGTCACCGGGTTTGTCCAGATTGTACATACCGCCCATCTCCATCATTTGCCGGACTATCTCATTGGTGATCTGCAAGGAATTCACACGCACCGTTGAGCCCCAAATCTAGACCAACTGAATATTTAAACACGAGTTCAAAGTGACACTACAAGTTTCAAAAAACTGTCGATGAAGGATGAAAAAAACATCAGTGAAAATATATTCATGAGAAGTACACCGACTGATTCATCGGCAACTACTCAATTATCAAATGAATCAATAATTACTTTGAGAACTGATTGCTCATTTTGAGATCTTTTGTCATTTAAAAGTGTCCAAATCGTTGTAACTTTGGCCTCTCCACAGTAAATGGTCTGAGCTTTCTGTCGACCCCATCAATATCCGTAGCCACACACCTGATCTCCCCATTCGTTGACAAGAGGCATATTGATGTCATCAACAAAGACCGACATCCTGCGCCCGCCCGGCGGTCCGTACGTGCTGCCGATTCTCTTCTCGATATAGCTCTCCACAGTGCGCTGCGGCAACAAACATTTCATTGTTAACCAAGCGTCTACTGTATCATTTTACAATAGGCAACCACCCCGCCCAACTGCCCCCCCCCCCCCCCCCCCAACACCGCTCTTCTGGCT